TTAAACTAAACAGTGGTTAATGAGATTATGTCCGTAAGACTGCTGGTAAATCTGAAAATAACCACCTAGAGAAATACAGAGCACTATTTATTAGTACTATTTTTAGCAGTATTATAATCTTCAAACATGCCAAACCTTTCCTTATTTTGTGAACACTTACAATAAATAGGAAACTTTCTAAGATGAAAATCAATTTTTCTCTTTCTCTTCAGCATACTTGCTGCCCTAAAGCTAGCCCCTAATAGAGAAACTAGAACTGTTAAGTGTTATTTGCTGCTTTTCCTTCCTGTCTTCTTATTCTCCCAGCTGTCTCAACTCAAAACCTTGTAGGAAGAGTGTTACACTTCAACAAATTGTTTCCTGTGACATTTAAACAAGCCTCCCTTTTGTCTTTCCATCTTAGAATTTTTCTTCTTCCCCTCCCCCATTTCCAGCACTCTGTCTGACCTGTCTTCTCTTTAGATCATTTATTATTGGCTAAAGTTTGCACATTATGCCAAAGGAAGAAGCTAGATTTATAAATATGTGTTCCCACCCAGCTGTTTCAAGAACAGGAATAACATTCGTCTTCCAGTTGTATGCCTGTTCTCTATATGCAGCTGTGCTCATCTACTCTTATAAATGAGGTGCCTATCTCTAAGTGCTACCTTGCCTAGAAATAAATGAACTCTGTTCCTGTTAAATTGGTTAGGCAATAATCAGAACAGTCCATCTTTGGGGAGAGACATTCACTTGAATTCACTTTGCTAATAGCCAGAGAGAATTTAGCCTAATTGCTTTCTTGGGACATATGCCATTTCCCTTAAGATGCCAGGGTACTAGAAAGGGATAGAAATCTTGTCCTTTTCTCCCCTCTGTATCCTCCTGCCCTGCAATCCTGACTGTGTCTTTTTTCTAAGGTAAACAGACATTCTAAGGAAATTATGTGAAAAGGATCAGAATCCTAAGAGATGGCTGTGTCATGCCTTAGTCTGAATCTGTCCACTAATAGTGAGACCTTCAGTAAATTACTTGTCTTTTCTGGGCTTTCTCTTCCTCATTTGCAAAGTAACTTTTTTTTTTTTTTTTTTTTGAGACAGAGTCTCACTCTGTTGCCCGGGCTAGAGTGAGTGCCGTGGCGTCAGCCTAGCTCACAGCAACCTCAAACTCCTGGGCTCAAGCAATCCTCCTGCCTCAGCCTCCCGCGTAGCTGGGACTACAGGCATGCGCCACCATGCCCGGCTAATTTTTTCTATATATTTTTAGTTGTCCGATTAATTTCTTTCTATTTTTAGTAGAGACGGGGTCTCGCTCTTGCTCAGGCTGGTTTCAAACTCCTGAGCTCAAACAATCCGCCCGCCTCGGCCTCCCAGAGAGCTAGGATTACAGGCGTGAGCCACCGCGCCCGGCCATAAAACTGTTTTCAACAAGAATAATAAAGGGGAGGAATCAGACTGCCCAATTTCAAGACTTACTATATAGCCACAGTAATCGAGACTGTGTGGTATTGGGTGGAGGGATAAGATACATAGCCTAATGGAACAGAACAGAGAACCCGGAAGTAGACTCATACAAATGTGCCCAACTGATTTTTGGCAAATGTGCAAAGGCAATTCTTCAGATGAAAGACAGCCTTTGGAACAGGTGGACATCATGGGGAGAGGGGCGAGTATCTCATACAAAATTGACTCAAAATGGATCAAGGACTTAAACAGAAAACATAAAATTATAAAACTTTTAGAAAATAAAAACTAGAAGAGGACAGGTATTGGTGGCTCATGCCTATAATCCCAACACTCTGGGAGGCCGAGGCGGGAAGATCACTTGAGATCAGGAGTTTGAGACCAGCCTAAGCAAAAAGCGAGACCCCCTCTCTACTAAAAATAAAAAAAACTAGCTGGGTATGGTAGCGTGTGCCTGTAGTCCCAGCTGCTTGGGAGGCTGAAGCAAGAAGGTCACTTTTATTTTTTTTTTTTTCAAATGGGCCCTCCTCACAAATCCAAGGAGGATCACTTGAGCCCAGGAGTTTTTTTTGGATTTGTTTGTTTGTTTGTTTTTGAGACAGAGTCTTGCTCTGTTGCCCTGAGTGGAGTGCTGTGGCATCAGCATAGCTCACAGCAATCTCAAACTCCTGGGCTCAAGAGATCCTCCTACCTCAGCCTCCCAAGTAGCTGGGACTACAGGTATGAGCCACAACACCCGACTAATTTTTCTATTTTTAGTAGAGACAGGGTCTTACTCTTGCTCAGGCTGGTCTCGAACTCCTGAGCTCAAGCGATCCTCCTGCCTTGGCCTCCCAGAGTGTTAGGATTACAGGCATGAGCCTCCATGCCCGGCCTTAAGCGCAGCAGTTGGAGGTTGCAGTGAGTTTTGTTGATGCCACTGTGTTCTACTCAGGGCGACGGAGCAAGACTCTTGTCTCAAAAAAAAACCCACCAGAATGTCATAGTAGAATGTGTTTTATGACCTTGTGATAAGACAAAGCACAAACTGTAAAGGAAAAGCTTAATATATTTGATTTAATTAAAATGTAGAACTACGTTTCAGCCGAATTTACCAAAAAATAACTTTAAAAGGCAAGCCACAAAAATCAAAGATTAAAAAGTTGACTCCAGGCCGGGCAAGAGCAAGACCCCGTCTCTATTAAAAAAATAGAAAGAAATTAATTGGACAACTAAAAATATATAGAAAAAACTAGCCGGGCATGGTGGCGCATGCCTGTAGTCCCAGCTACGCGGGAGGCTGAGGCAGGAGGATCGCTTAAGCCCAGGAGTTTGAGGTTGCTGTGAGCTAGGATGACGCCACGGCACTCTAGCCCGGGCAACACTGTCTCAAAAAAAAAGACTCTGCCTCAAAAAAAAAAAAAAAGAAATATTAAAACTGTATAAAACAACATCGTTTTTCTTCTGTCTGCTTGGCAAAGATCACGAAGTTTGAGAACACTGTGTTGCCAAAGGGAAAGGGCAAGAGGTGTTTCATGGACCAGTAGTAGATGAATATATAAATTAGTATATCTTCGTGGAAGAAATTTGGTAGTATTTATCAAAACTCCAAATACAAGTGCTCTGTGATGAGCAGTTTTACTTAGAGTAATTTATTTTACAGACATATAGGTAAGATAAAACATTTGTACAAGGTTATTTTTGCAGTTTATTTGTAATAGCAAAAGAATAGAGCAACCCAAATGTCCATCCAGTGCACCCATTGGAAAGAACAGTATGGTTCTCTGTCTACACATATTGAATGATACAAAATATTTGAGCACATGAAAAAAGCAATGTGCAGAGCATTGTGTGTATATTGCTACTATTTAAGGAAGAATGTATAAACATATTTGCTTATATACGTATAAAATATCTCTGAAGACTTTTAGATGTTTCCGAATAGGGGAACTGGAAGGCTGAAGAACAGTGACAAGAGGGACACTTCATTTTATATTAGGGTTTGTTTGGTATTTTTTGCTACTTTTGAATTTTGGAGTATTACTATATTACCCATTCAAAAGCATTTTTAAATAAAATGAACATGTCAGCAATATTCATTGTGAGGTCACTTAAGAGTAAAAATGCACAAAAAACCTAAATGTCCATCAACAGAGTATATAAATTGTGGTCAAATCATACAATGAAATACTTGAGCTCAGTTAAAATGAATGGATTAAGCTTTTCATGTCCCCATGGATAAATTTCAAATTTATAATATTAAGTGAGGGCTGGGCAC